AGTTAAGAGGTCTCTAGCCAAAGTAAAAGAAAACATCCAAAGTAGGAATAAAATGTTAGAAAATAAAAAATCTTGGTTCCAGAGATAGTTTGAATGGAATCCATGGCTAACAACTCTTCTACCTGGCCTTGCTGGGCCAGCAATTCTGCTGTTCCTTGGACTATTAGTGGGACACTGCATATTTAACTGGCTCATTAACTTTATCAAGGAATGCGTTTCCTCCATAAAGCTCATGTATATGCGGAGCCACTATGACCCTGTCATAAACCAGGGAGATGATGCCCCCTAAAACAAAGCGTTTAAAGGGGCATCAGAGGAGAGAGTGACAGGGAAAGATTTACAAGGACAGCAATCTAGCCCGGGTGGCTCCCCTCTGTCTCCCCCACCTGCTCAACACAAACAAACAAACAAAAAACACCCCCTTGGTTTCCTGCTCTGCCAAGCACCAGTTCCCAAGATTCACTCCCTAAACTCCCTCCTCGCCTGCTCTCTTGCTGTGCATGTAGGAATGTTATAGATAAGGAAGCAGAAAGATATATATGGCTCCCTTTGCATTTGTTCAGGGCTCAGACTTTTTGGGAGATTACTCCCCTCTGAGCCTGATGGTGTGAAATAAAGCCTCAACACTCCAAGACCTCCGAGTGCCACTTGGTTCTTCTGTCAGTGATCCAGTCCAGGTTTGTTCAGTATTTTCTGTAACAATGGAGGTTACACAAATCTGTACATGGAATGAAATTTCATAGACACACATACATTTACACATATACACACACACATACAAATAAGTGCATATAAAAATGGTGAAAACTGAGTAGGGCCTGTAGTCTAATTAACAATACTGTACCAGTGTCAATTTCCTGTTTTGATTTCTACTAGAGTTATATAAGATGTCACCACTGTGAGAGCTAGGCAGAGGGTTCAATGGGCTTCTTTTGCAATCACTGTGAATCTACAATCATTTCAAAATAAAAAGTATATAACTTTTTTATTTTGATTTTTTTATGTTAATACAGCTCACACTTTTTCCCTTAAACTAAGAGGCTAATTTTAAAATTGAAATATAGTTAAGATACCATATTATATCGATTTCAGGTATACAACAACATAGTGATTCAATGAATTATATATGAGTTATGAAATGATCACCATAAGTGTAGTTACCAGCTGTCACCATACAAAGACATTACAGTATTATTGACTATATTTCCTATGCTATACCTTTCATCCCTGTGATTTTTTTATTTTATAATTGGAAGTTTATACCTTTTTATCCCCTTCATCCTCTTTATTGCTGATACCCACTCCCTCCCCTAGGACAACCACCAGTTTGTTCTCTGTATTTATGAGTCTATTTGTGTTTTGTTTGTTGTATCTTTTTAGATTTCACATGAAATCGTATGGCATTCGTCTTTCTATGTTTGACTTATTTCACTTAGCATAATACCTTCTAGGTCTATCTATGTTGTCACAGATGGCACGATTTCATTCTTTTTTATGACTGAGGTATATATATATATATATATATATATATATATATATGATCCATTGTATATATGATCACCTCTTCTTTGTCCATTCATCTATCAATTGCCATTTAGGTTGCTTCTATATCTTGGCTATTGTAAATACTGCTGCAATAAACAAAGGGATATGTATACCTATTCAAATTAGTGTTTTTGTTATCTTTGGGTAAATACCCAGAAATGGAATTACTGGATTGCATAGTATTTCTATTTTTAGTTTTATGAGAAACTTCCATACTGTTTTCCATAGTGGCGGCACCAATTTACATTCCCATCAACAGTGTAGGAGGGTTCCCTTTTCTCCATATCCTTGCCAACATTTGTTATATCTTGTCTTTTTGATATTAGTCATTCTTACTGATGTTGTGGTTTTGATTTGCATTTCCCCAATGATTAGTGATGCTGAAGATCTTTTCATGTGCCTGTTGGTCATCTGTATGGTTAAATTTTTTAAACATTACATTTTTATTGATATATAGTTCATATACCATAAAATTTACTATTTTAAAGTGCATAATTTGGTGGAATTTTGTGTATTCATGAGGTTGTATAATCATCACCACTATCTAATTCCACAATATCTTCATTACCCCAAAAAGAAACCCTATATCCATTAGCAGTCACGCTTTCTCCTCTTTCCCCAGTTCTTGACAACCACTAATCTACTTTCTGTCTTTTTAGCTCTGTATTTGCCTATTCTGACATTTCATAGAAATGGAATCATAACATATGGTTTTGTGCTTCTCGCTTCTTTCACTTAGCATAATACTTGTAAGGTTTATCCATGTTGTGGCACGTGTCAGTACTTTATTCCTTTCATGGCTGAATAATCCATATGTATAGCTGAACCACATTTTGTGGTACTTTGGGTTGTTTCCACAATTTTGCTATTATAAATAATTGTGGTATGATTACCCATGTGCAAATTTTTGTATGATCATGTGTTCTCAATTTTTGGGTATATATTTAGGAGTGGAATTGCTGGGTTGTGCCATAATTCTACATTTAACTTTTTGAGAAACTGCAAAGCTGCTTTCTGAAGGAGCTGTACCATTTTACTTCCTCATTAGCAATGCCTGAGGGTCCAATTTCCCCATATCCTCACCAATACTTGTTGCATTGTCTATCTTTTTTATTAGAGTCATCCTACTGGATATGAAACGGTATCTAATTATGGTTTTGATTTGCATTGCACAAATCATTAATGATTTTGAGTACCTTTTCATTTGTATATGTTCTTCGGAGGAATGTCCATTCAAATACTTTGCCCATTTTTACTTGGGCCATCTTTTTGTTGTTGAATTGTAAGAGATCTTTAAATACTCTGGATACTAGACTCTTATCAGAAATGCATAGTTTGCAAATTTCTCCTATTCTGGGGATTGTCTTTTCACTTTCTTGATAATGTCCCTTGAAGCACTGAAGTGTTTACTTTTAATGAAGCAGAGCTTATCTATTATTTTCTTTTGTTGTTTGAGCTCTTGGTGTCATATCTAAGAAACCATTGCCAGATATAAAGCCAGCAAATGTTACCCCATGTTTTCCTTCTAAGAATTTTATAGTTTTAGCTCTCATTTTAGGTCTTTGATTCATTTTGAGTCAATTTTTGATTATGATATGAGGTAGGGGTCCAACTTCATCCTTCTCCATGTGAATATCCACCTGTCCTTGCACTATTTATGTATTTATTTATTTATTTATCATTTTTTATTAAGGTATGATTGATATACACTCTTATGAAGGTTTCACATGAAAAAACAATGTGGTTACTACATTTACCCATATTATCAAGTCCCCACCCATACCCCAAAGCAGTCACTGTCCATCAGTTCAGCATGATGCCAGAGATCCACTATGTCCCTTCTCTTGTACTAAATGTAATACCCTTCAATCCCCTTCTCCCTCCCTCCCCACACACCCTTCCACACCCCTCGCCCTTGGTAACCACTAGTTCATTCTTGGAGTCTCTGAGTCTGCTGCCATTTTGTTCCTTCAGTTTTGCTTCATTGTTATACTCCACAGATGAGGGAAATCATTTGGCATTTATCTTTATCTGCCTGGCTTATTTCACTGAACATAATGTCCTTGAGCTCTGTCCATGTTGTCCTGCATTCTTTATTTAAAAGGCTATTCTTTCCCCCCACTGAATTGCCTTGACACCGTTGGCAAAAATCAATTGACTGTAAATGTATGGGTTTGTTCCTGGCTCCTCAATTCTATTCTATTGATACAAAAAGTTTTTAAAATTAATAAATTGTTTTCCCTGATGCCTAATGTGCACCACTCTAAGTAGAATCTATGTCGTTTTTACTCACAGTTATGAATTAATTTAAGTAGAGTACCATGGGACCTTATTTAGGTAAATGCAGCTTATTAACAGGTCTCCAAGAAATAAGGAATGGGAGGTGAGGTGGTTGGTGTACTAGACAGACCTTTGGGTTGGAATTAGTAGGACTTAGGTTTGAATGCTAGTTGTATCTAATGTTTTGTGGCTTTGGGAAAGTTACTAACCTCTGTGAGTTTTGCTACTGTGAAATGGAGATGATAGCAGTTTCACAGGGCTGGTATTAGCATCAAGAGACAAATGTTGTGAAAATAATGGCATAGTCCCTGGTACACAGTGTATACTTGACATAAAGTAAACTCACAGCTGGTGATGGTCTTGTGGCCCCCTCCATTCTGACCCAGACTGGTTATGTGGGAGCAGGAGAGAGGGACTATGCAGTGGGTACTTGTGCCCATTCACACAATTCTGCTCCTATCTCCTACACATGCAGCAGTTCTGGGCCCAGTCCCTCACCTTTTCTGTTGAGGCAGTATAAAGGGTGGATAAAGGAAAGGAAAATGGCTCTCCACAGGCCATCTTTCTCACCAGGTTTGAGGGTCAACCAGTAGTGAACCACAGAAATTAAGAAATAGTCCTGTCCTATTTTATATATCTAGAACTTTATTTTTATAGACAAAACAACATAACTGTGTGCAAAAGTTTTTGCCGGTGTAGAACTATCACAACTGTAGAAATCCTACCTGCTTGGATCAGGAAAGCACAGTTCAGGTCCCCTTGCTTACTTTGTTGTGGTCCCTAGATTGTAAAGGAAAGGGCCTAGGAGGAAACAAATGATCATTGTTCTCAACACTTTCATGCCTAAACCTAAATTGTGATGATGTCAATTAGGATTGAGAGGAAGGGGCATGGTGTTCCTTGGCTTCTCATTCTTCTGATCAGAAAGTTTGCTGGAGTCAGGGGTTAAAAAAGGTCTGTGCACTCACAAGCCCCTCTTGCTGAACTGGGTTGTTGTCCAGTCTTCCCATGCCCTTCTGGTTTCTTTCTCCAAACCTGATTCATTAAGTGCTTTCTGACTTGGTTGGCCTTCTTCCTCAACCCTGATGTCCTCCTCTCTCCCCAAATTCTTCCTTTCATGTGGCCCACATAGGTATATCTCAATACATTGGGAGTTAAGTAATGGAATCCAGCTCCTATTGTATGATTGTCAGCTCCTGGGTCTCAGGGATGCCATGCTCAATTTAGTGTTAGTCAAACAACTTGTGCAGGGCACTGATATAGAGTGTGTGATACTTGTCTACCGACTTCTTGTTTGACCTCTTAATCCTTGGGATTGGCAAGGGTTACCCAATTGTGGGGAAAAATAAGAGACAAGCATCATAGACCCTCCACCCAACTCAAGTTATCCATCCCTCAGTGGTAGCCACATGCTGAAACCAGTATATGGGTCCCCTATTTTTGTTCTTTCCCTCTATTCTAGCCTCATCCTATCCTATGTTCTCCAAACACCTAATCTTGTGGGTTCCCTCACACTAAAGAGATTGACAGCAAGCTCAGGAGAGTTGAGGAATGGATGTGAATAATGAAGCTCTCATGACAGCTATTGACATGTCCCACTGTAAATGGCCACAACTGTTAATCTATTTATTTCCTCCTCACTCTACCCTCAACCACAATCACTGGAATTCCCATTGCCAATCCCAGCTGTGTGCCAGGTGCCCTGGTACTTGATGGATCACCTATGAGGGGGAAGCAAAGCTCAAGGTGGTCCAGAGATTTTGGAAAGCTCATCAACAGTGGTAATGGGCTGAATGAAAGGCAGGGAGCCTCAGGATCCTTGAGTGAGGCTCCGGCTATGGAAGGTACAGAAATTTAGTCCCAGGATTTTTCTTAATGTGTCCTGGAAGGTTTTTTGGAAGCACTTTTTCCATGTGCCCTCAGGGAAGATCTCTTGATTGTAAGCCTCATTCTCTCCAAAGGAATAGGAAGGAACAAGGTATGTTCTTCAAAGAGAGGGGATGAAGTGTCAGTTCTCCCAGAAAGTTCCCCCAGGGAAATCCTCTCCAAGGTGAGAAACCTCTACAATCTCCCCACTATAGGACAAGAGCCCCAAAGCACCCAAACATCTCCAGTCTTGTGCCTCATTCTTGCTGTGTCCCACCCTCCCAACAGAACCCTTTGGAGGGAGCTGCTGTACCTTGTCCTGTGATGGGAAGAAACTAATCTCAGGTGATCTAACTGCCTTAATTGTACCCACCATCCAGAGTGATCATCCTAAACTGCATATCTGGACATAACATTCCTTTCTTTAAAACTCCTCCAGAGCTTCTCAATTTGTACCGCACTGGTTAGCATGGCCTTTGTGTTCTCGCCCTGCTTACCTGGCTAGCTTCCCCTCTCCCCACCTCTTCCTCACAATCTGCTTAGCCATACTAAATGTGCCAAGTTTTCTCTTGTCTATGTGTCTTTGTACAGTCTGCATCCTTGGCTGGAAATGCCTTCTTTCTGTCTTCACATCGCTAATTCTGTTTTGCCTTTCAATACTCAGCTCTGATATCATCCCCTTGAAGAAACTTTCTCTGACCACCTCCAATTCCTACTCCCCCCATTTAATGCTCACCTCTTTCTTACACCAACAGTATCCCAACTTTGTATTACAGTCATCTCATTATCTGGCTGACACCCCCAGTAGACAGAAAGCCAATCAAAGGTGGGAACTACGTTACTCATTTGAATCCTTAAGCCTGGGATAGTGCCTGATATGTTGTATGTCCCCTGAGTTCTTTCTCCCTTTTGGTCTGATTTGAAACTCCTACTAATATTTCAACTCGAAATTCAGATCACCCACTTATGAAACTTCTACTTTGGGTAAAAGTTTTTCTATCAGTTGGTATTCTCATAGCACTCTGTATATCTCCACTATAGCATGTTATTAATTCAATAAATACTTACTTCTTTCTGTGTGCCAGACTGTTTTAAGCCATGTGGATACATCAGTGAACACAATGAATAAAAAAAAAATCTCTGTCCTCACAGAGTTATCTTTTGAGTGAAGACAGACAACAATAATAACGAACAAACAAAAAAATAGATATATAAATAAGATTGATAGTGTATAAGAAGATGATAAGTACCATGGGAAAAAAATTGAGCAGAATAGCCAGGACAGACTTTACTGAGAGGAGACAATTGAGCAAAGACCTGGAGGAGGTAAAGGAATGAGCCAAGCAGTTATTTGAATGAATAGGTTTCAGGTAGAGGATATTGGTCTGTAGTTTTCTTTTTTGGTGGGGTCTTTGCCTTGTTTTGGTATTAGGGTGATGTTGGCTTCATAGAATGAGTTTGGGAGTATGCCCTCCTCTTCTATTTTTTGGAAAACTTTAACGAGAATGGGTATTATGTCTTCCCTGTATGTCTGATAAAATTCCGAGGTAAATCCATCTGGCCCAGGGTTTTGTTCTTTGGTAGTTTTTTAATTACTGCTTTAATTTCGTTGCTGGTAATTGGTCTGTTTAGATTTTCTGTTTCTTTCTGGGTCAGTCTTGGAAGGTTGTATTTTTCTAGGAAGTTGTCCATTTCTCCTAGGTTTCCCAGCTTGTTAGCATATAGGTTTTCATAGTACTCTCTAATAATTCTTTGTATTTCTGTGGGGTCCATCGTGATTTTTCCTTTCTCATTTCTTATTCTGTTGATTTGTGTTGACTCTCTTTTCCTCTTAATAAGTCTGGCTAGAGGCTTATCTATTTTGTTTATTTTCTCGAAGAACTAGCTCTTGGTTTCATTGATTTTTGCTATTGTTTTATTCTTCTCAATTTTATTTATTTCTTCTCTGATCTTTATTATGTCCCTCCTTCTGCTGACCTTAGGCCTCATTTGTTCTTCTTTTTCCAATTTCAATAATTGTGACATTAGACCATTCATTTGGGATTGTTCTTCCTTCTTTAAATATGCCTGGATTGCTATATACTTTCCTCTTAAGACTGCTTTTGCTGTATCCCACAGTAGTTGGGGCTTTGTGTTGTTGTTGTCGTTTGTTTCCATATATTGCTGGATCTCCATTTTGATTTGGTCATTGATCCATTGATTATTTAGGAGCGTGTTGTTAAGCCTCCATGTGTTTGTGAGCCTTTTTGCTTTCTTTGTACAGTTTATTTCTAGTTTTATGCCTTTGTGGTCTGAAAAGTTGTTTGGTAGGATTTCAATCTTTTGGAATTTACTGAGGTTCTTTTTGTGGCCTAGTATGTGGTCTATTCTGGAGAATGTTCCATGTGCACTTGAGAAGAATGTGTATCCTGTTGCTTTTGGATGTAGAGTTCTGTAGATGTCTATTAGGTCCATCTGTTCTAGTGTGTTGTTCAGTGCCTCTGTGTCCTTACTTATTTTCTGTCTGGTGGATCTGTCTTTTGGAGTGAGTGGTGTGTTGAAGTCTCCCAGAATGCATGCACTGCACTCTATTTCCTCCTTTAGTTCTGTTAGTATTTGTCTCACATATGTTGGTGCTCCTGTATTGGGTGCATATATATTTATAATGGTTGTATCCTCTTGTTGGACTGAGCCCTTTATCATTATGTAATGTCCTTCTTTATCTTTTGTTACTTTCTTTATTTTGAAGTCTGTTTTGTCTGATACTAGTATTGCAACACCTGTTTTTTTCTTTCTGTTGTTTGCATGAAATATCTTTTTCCATCCCTTGACTTTAAGTTTGTGCATGTCTTTGGGTTTGAGGTGAATCTCTTATAAGCAGCATATGGATGGATCTTGCTTTTTTATCCATTCTATTACTCTGTGTCTTTTGATTGGTGCATTCAGTCCATTTACATTTAGTGTGATTATTGAAAGGTATGTACTTATTGCCATTGCAGGCTTTAAGTTTGTGGTTACCAAAGGTTCAGGGCTAGCTTGTTTACTATCTTACTGTCTAACTTAACTCGCTTATTGAGCTATTATAAACATGGTCCGATGATTCTTTATTTCTCTCCCTTCTTATTCCTCCTCTTCCCTTCTTCATATGTTGGGTGTTTTGTTCTGTGCTCTTTTTAGGAGCGCTCCCATCTAGAGCAGTCCCTGTAAGATGCCCTGTAGAGGTGGTTTGTGGGAGGCAAATTCCCTCAACTTTTGCTTGTCTGGGAATTGTTTAATCCCACCATCATATTTAAATGATAGTCGTGCTAGATACAGTAGTCTTGGTTTGAGGCCCTTCTGTTTTATTGCATTAAGTGTATCATGCCATTCTCTTCTGGCCTGTAGGGTTTCTGTTTAGAAGTCTGATGATAGCCTGATGGGTTTTCCTTTGTAGGTGACCCTTTTTTTCTCTCTGGCTGCCTTTAATACTTTGTCCTTATCTTTGATCTTTGCCATTTTAATTATTATGTGTCTTGGTGTTGCCCTCCTTGGATCCCTTGTCATGGGTGTTCTGTGTACCTCTGTGGTCTGAGAGGCCATTTCCTCCCCTAGTTTTGAGAAGTTTTCAGCAATTACTTCTTCAAAGACACTTTCTATCCCTTTTTCTCTCTCTTCTTCTTCTGGTACCCCTATAATGTGTATATTGTTCCGTTTCGATTGGTCACTCAGCTCTCTTAGAATTCTTTCATTCCTGGAAATTCTTTTATCTCTCTCTGCATTGGCTTCTCTGCGTTCTTGTTCTCTGTTTTCCAGTCCATTAATGGTCTCTTGCATCTCGTCCATTCTGTTTTGAAGTCCTTCCAGAGCTTGTTTTACTTCTGTATTCTCCTTCCTTAGTTCTTGCATATTTCTCTGCAAGTCCATCAGCATGGTTATGACTTTTGTTTTGAATTCTTTTTCAGGAAGACTGGTTAAATCTATTTCCCCAGGTTCCTTCTCAGGGGAAGATGTAGCAGATGCTGAAGCTGTCTGGGTTAGTCTTGTCTGGATCAAATTTTTTTGCCTTTTCATGTTGATAGGTGCAGTTGAGTGCTATTGATGTGTCTATCAGCTTTCCACTTGGCTCCTGGCCTTTCTTTACTGGGACTACTGCGACCCCTAGTGGCTTGTGTTGGGCAATTAGACTGGGTCTCTGTATCTTGTCCTGCCCGTATGGAGGAAGCTCCCTTGCTGAGGGTGTGGCCAGCCTCAGGCTTTTTCTCTGCTTTGGCAGGGCCCCAGAGGGGTAATGGATGGGGGGCTGTTTGGCTGTTTACCTCTGTGAGGGGTCTCAGAGCTGTTGCCCAGGGGGTTAGTGCACCCGGATTTCCGTGGAATTTCCAGCTGCTGGACTGTGACCTGGGTTGTTTCCGTCCAGCTATGGCATCCCTGTCCCTTTAAGACTTTCAAAAAGCACTCACTTTTCTTTGTCACAGGGGCATTGGCTTCGGGACCTGCTCAGAGGTCTTGCTGCCCTGTTTCCCTAGTTTCCAGCACCCCATGCATGCACTGTGTCTGCGCTCTGGTGTGGATGGCTAGGGCTGGGTGTTTAGCAGTCCTGGGCTCCCTCTCCCTCCCCGCTCCGACTCCTCTCCTCCCCCCGGGAGCTGGGGTGAGGGGCGCTCGGGTCCTGTCGGGCTGGGGCTTGTATCTTACCCATTTCACCAGGCGCTGGGCTCTCGCAGGTGTGGATGTGGTCTGGCTGTTGTTCTGTGTCTTCTGGTCTCTCTTTTAGGATTAGTTGTATTTGTTGTATTTTCAAAAATATATATGTTTTTGGGAGGAGATTCCCACTGTCCTACTCATGCCGCCATCTTGGCTCCACCCTCAGGTCTTATTTTTTATATCCTAGTGCCTAGTACTGTGATTGATGCACAGTAAGTGTACAATAACTGCTGAATGAATGCATTCTATTTCTCAAATCAGATTATATGCTCTTTGGGAGAAGTGACCATGTACTATTCATCTTTTCAATGGCCAGAGAATCAAGCCCAGTGCCTTCCTTGCCCTGTAGAGGTTCTCTGGGCCTCTCAGTGAATGGATTGATACAGAGTGAAGCCCATTTCCCCAGAGCCCCAGACTACCAGGCTACTGGGAGGAAAGTAAAGGTCTTGTACTATGCTCTCTGCAACTTCAAGTTAGGAAAAGTGCCCACCAAAATGTTTCTGGAGGCCCAAACATCCTTAAGGCACAATGTGAGAGGGTAGAGAGAAGCAGTCAGAGTGAAAGGAGGCTCCCTCTAACAGGTTTCCAAGGCAGGGCACCACTTTGGACAGGTTTCTCAGAGCACCTATAACACCCTGACAGTAGGGCACCAGAACTTGGGGGCACACCCTGTCTTCAGTGCCAACTTCACAAAACCTTTCCGCTGTTTGAGGTAGATAGCAGAGGCTCCTGGCCAGCACAAGAGGACTTTGGCAGCTCCACCTACCACAATAACCACGGCACTGCCTGAGCCTTTTTGGGTCAACAAATACTTCAAGGCCAGCTCATTCACTGGGCACACACCTGTGAAAACAAAGAGTCAAGTAGCAGAACAAACTTGATGCCTGAGGATGGGGTAAGAGAGTCTTCCAGGCTCTTCCTGCTCGAGACAGTTCTGTTTCTTGACTACTGTTGCCATTCTTCTGTCTTTAACTTCCACATCTGAGTGAGCCCTAGGTTTAGGTCCTTAGTGTCAGCTGTTTGCCTTGGGGGCCTGTGCTGCTACAACTGGGACTACAGTGAGTTCCTTTGCCTACTTCCTCAGTAATACTTAAGTGCACCCCTTCCCTTTGTACATAAGAACTACAGCTGTCTTCTGCTTTTCCCATGCTTACAGCACTGGAAGCTCTTCAGAGTTCTCTTCCCCAGCCACCACCAACCTGCTTCCTCCCAAGAGCAACCTGTCTAAGGTGAACCATTGCCTGGAGTTTCTGAAGAGCAGGCAGACCCAGGAGCCCACTCAAGCCAAGTTGAAAGGTAGGTGAACCATGGAATACGGATGACACCCTGTTGCTCAACAACAGTCACAGCCTTTGCTCATGTCTGCGTCGCATCTTTGCCCTGTGCTTATCTTCTATTCTCTCCTGAGATGGCAGAAATTGCCTCCAGGTCTCAGTCATTGAGAGAAACTGCTGCTACAGGTTAATGTCAACCTCAGAAGGTAGCAGAATCATCCTCTGGGACTCTAGGTGTCCCATCTGTCCCCCACCCCAGAGAAATGCATCTTACTTCTTAAGGTTTGGCTTTCGTTGGTGCCCAGAAAGATAGATATTCATCCAAATAGAAGGATATTTATCACAGTATCCTGACTTAAAGCCTTGTATGGGGACGTTTTCCTGGATTCTGATGGACGCCAATTCTTTACCCCTTGATATATCATGCAAGTGTGAAGGGGTTCCCAGGAGATGAAGTCCATGGGCCAGGAGGGCACCAGCTAGTATGAAAGACTTTAAAATGTCTTTAAGATGCCCTGGGATAAGAGCTGCTATATAAACAACTTGAGCAAAAGAAGCCAACTGACATCCCAGAAAGAGTCTGGCAATGTTCACCTGTACATTCAATGTTCATGAAGGCCCCATTCATGCTTGATTTTCCCAACTTTTGGGCTTGATATTTGGTTTTGTTTTCTACTTTCTACTTTGTCTTTGATCCTGAACTTCAGCCTCCTAATTCCACCTCTGGAAGGATTCCTAGCAACTGTTATGAATGCCTGTAATTTACCCTACTGCCTAACCAAAACTTGCCTCCCAGCTCTTGGATGGAACCTGATGCCTGGTCACATGCTACTGTTAATGGTGTAAAGTGTCTGGACTCATTTTCTACTAAGTCCATTTCTTGTAGGGAGTGAGACTTAGACAGACTGTCAGGGCTTACTGGGGTTGGAGTATTGAGGTAGGTCAGAATGGAATGATTTCTTATACTCACCCATTGACATCACATATTCTCACATAATTGGGATCCAGAAGATCCCTTCCAAGATCCCTAAAGAAGGAGTAATGGCTGGGAAAATCCGAGCAAAGGCAGTGGCCTCAGTGGCAATGTTGATGAAGACACCATAAGAGAAAATGCCATGGGGGTGGTTGGCAATGATATGGTTGTGTTTGGGAGAGAGGTTATGAGTCTCCACCAGCTGTTAGAGGGAGATTGCCAAATGTTATGATGCTCTGAGAAGTTGACCTGGGTTTGCCACTGTGGGGAAAGCTTACGATCCATCCATCTCCCTACATGCCCATCCACCTTGGGCCCCCACTCTGCATTATGCCTCTGAACCTTGACCAGTGCTGGCCACCAAAGCCTTTAAAAACATGAAGCTGAGAGAGGAGGGAGTCTGGGCAGCAGGGGCCAAGGGCATCTAGGGGGAGGGTAGTCACCTTTATTGGGAAGTAATTTTGGAAATCCTTCCAGAGGGCCCAGTTTCAGACCCAAGGGATGGGAAGAGAGGTGAGACATTGCCAATTTCTTAACTTCTACCAGAGATGGAGGGTTCTTCCTAGTCCTCAGGTCACAGAAGGGACTCCTGCTCACACTTCCGTATTTCTACAGCATAGAGGTGTAGGTAGTATCCTTGAATCTAGCTCCCCAAGGAGACATAGGAAGCCCTTGCTTCTCTAATAGGGAAGCTTTTCTGAGGCCAGAGGCATCTGCCCAGAAACCTCAGCCTGTTCATTCTTACAAGGCAGGCTGTCAGAGACCTCTGTTCCCTGCTGAGCTTTGCTCTCCTCTCCCTCTTCTTCCCTCTACTTCCCTTTGCTTCCCCCTCTCTTTACCTGTCTCCACCTCCCCCCTTTTCTTTTCTCTTTCTTCTTCTTTCCTCTCCCGACCCCTTCTCCCTCTGCTTCTCCCTATACCTCCCTTTCCCTATTGTTCTGTGCTTGGCACAGATAGGGACCACCACTCTTCCTCTGTCTCTTACCTTGAATGTGGGTGCTCCAATCATAGGCAAGCCAGGCTTAAAGCAAGCATGGATAAGGTCCAAAATTTAGTGAACACCAGAAAGTAGGGTATAAGAATAATAGAAATAACTCCTGAGGGGACACAAAGGGTTCATGCTCTTCAACTCTCTTCAAGTTAATACACCTCTCACAAACCTGATCTCTACTCTACACTGAAGGAGCAGGTTGAGCCTGGTGTGAGACCCTTTCCTTCATCTCCTCTCACCCACAACCTATCTCTGCTGTGGTCCAGGCTGACCTCTGAATCTCTGGATCTGGGTCCCCTTGATGGCTGATATCTTAAGTGAGGAAAGAGCAGCACTATGACATTCTGTGAGCAGGTCTTCAGCTGGTGTCAAATGACAGCACTACTTGGCTCGTAGAAAGAAAAGCACCTTGGGCTAGAGGCTCATAGCGCCATTCTGGGATCTCAGTAAGTCCTTTCTAAAAGCTTGACACTCATTCCTTTATGGAACTGCTAAGTCAGTACATTCCAGTGGAGAGGAGCTCCTGCATGTACAGGCTGTTTGATGCTGAGAGAAAAACACATATAAGAAACTGCTTTACTATGTCCAATTTTGTCCTATTCAAAATATCTCAAAATTTTGGAAGGGAAAAAAGTTATCTCTGTTAGCAAAAGGCCATAGCAAGCTTTGAAATGGAAATATGATACATCTTAGAGCAGTGGAATTGAATTCCATCTTAAAATCTGCATTCATGAGAAAGAAGCTAAGTACACAGACTGTGAATAAAAAACGACCTGGCTAAAGGAATGACTTCTTTGACCAGGTAACCACATCATGGTACATAGAAATTTCAGAGGAAAGGAAAAAACTTGAGTTACCTACACACTGGTTTGTCTTCTGCATTTTAGACATAGGTGAAAATAACAGGAAAAAGACAGAATGGGCATTTCTTTAAGAAGTCAGGCAATAGAATAGAAGAAATCTTAGTGATAGGCTGAATTCCCCTTACAAAAGCTGACTGAGATGGTGTTGAAAGCATGCTAATAGGAAGTAGTGGTGGGAAAAATTTTATCAGGAGCCTGCCATGGATAAAAGTCCTGCTGTCTCTGACCATCATAAAATATGAGAGTAAATTTGCTGGGGAAGCTTCAGAAGATAACTCAAAGTTAAATAAGAATCTTTATTAATTAAAAGTAGTCTAAGTGTATAATTTCTTTTATTTATTATTTTTATTTTAAATTGAAATATAGTTGACAAACCATATTATATTACTTTCATGTGTACAACATAGTGATTTGACAATTATATCCATTACAAAATGCTCACCACAAAAAGTGTGGTCACCATTTGTCACCATACAAAGCTATTATAATATTATTGACTATATTCCCTATGATATACTTTTCGTCCCTGTGACTTACTTATTTTATAACTGGAGGTTTGTACCACTTTTTTTTGAATACATATCAAAGATTTTATTTAATTCATTGATTAATGACGGAACCAGTAAGATGTTATAGCCAATTCAAATGGATTTGATTTAGAGATTTATGTAATCTACCAGACAAAATTTATTTGCTTTGCATTAATAGGAATCATTTACATAGCTATGGACAGGAAACATTTGCATTACTATCAGTCTTCTACATGTTAACCTACTTCTTTACAGAGTTGTAAAACAGTCTAGTAAGAGACAATGAAAGCAGAAATAACCAGAATGATTGAGCTAAATTTCACTCACTAAATTTCAAAGAGTTTCTTGCAATAGAGTAAGATCAAAACAACCTGTAATTCTTCTATTGAGAGATAACCTACACATACAAATATTGTGCCATATTTTTTTAAATGGCAAAATGGATTTTTTTATTGATATACTCTTATTTTAGTTTCAAGTATACAACACAGTGGATCAACAATTACCCATATCATTAAATCTTCACCCCCTCTAGTACAACTACTATCTATTAACATAGGAAGATGTTACAGAATCGTTGGCTATGTTCTCCATGCTGTACTACTATCCCTGTGACTAACCTACAGTATGATTCAGAATTTTTGTACCCCTTTCTCCCCCCCTCCCCACCCTCACACCTCAACCATGGTAACCACCAGTCCCTTCTCAGTGTCTGTGAGTCTACTGCTGTTTTGTTTACCTTGTTTTGCTTTATATTTATAGTCCACAAATAAGTGAAATCACATGGTATTGGTCTTTCTCTGCCTGACTTATTTCACTGAGCATAATACCCTCTAGATCCATCCATGCTGTTGTAAATGGCAGGATTTATTTTCTTTTTATGGCTGAATAATATTCCATTCTGTATATATACATTCATCTATTGATGGACACATTGGTTGCTTCCATATCTTGGCTATTGTAAATAATGCAATGATAAATAAAGAGGTACATGTGTGTTTTTGGATCAGAGATTTTGTTTTCTTCAGATAAAATCCTAGAAGTGGAATTACTGGGTCAAATGGTATTTCTATTTTTTGGAGGAACCTCCATATTGCTTTCCATAGTGGCTGTGCCAATTTGCATTCCCACCAATAGTGTGGGAGGGTTCTCTTTTCACTGCATTCTCACCAACACTTGTTATTTCTTGTCTTGACCATATATGCATGGATATATATCCAAGCTCTGTATTCTTTTCCATTCATCTGTGAGGTTGTTCTTGTGCCAGTACCATACTCTTTTGGTTACTGTAGCTTTTTAGTACAGCTTCAAGTCAGGGAGTGTAATACCCCTAGCTTTGTTCTTCTTTCTCAAGATCACTTTGGCTGTATTAGGGGTCTTTTGTGGTTCCATATGAATTTTAGGATTATTTTCTATAGTTCATTGAAAAATGATATTTGTGTTTTGATGGGGATTGCATTGAATCTGTGACTTGCTTCGGGCAGGATGGCCATTTTGACAATAATAATTCTTCCTACCCATGAGCATGGGACAGATTTTCATTTATTTACGTCTTCTTTAATTTCTCTCATTAGTGTCTTACAGTTTTCAAAGTACAAGTATTTCACCTCTTTGGTTAGGTTTATTCTTAGGTATAAATAAACTTTTGATGCAATTATAAATGGAATTATTTTCTTGATTTCTCTTTCTGCTAATTAGTCATTAGTATATAGGACTGCAGAAGATTCCTGTGCATTAATTTTGTACCCTGCAGCTTTTCTGGATCCAATTATTAGCTCTAATAGTTTTTTGGTGGAGTCTTTAGGGTTTTCTATGTAGATTATCATATCATTTGCAAATGGTGACAGTGTTACTTCATCCTTACCAATTTGGATGCCTTTTATCTCTTTACCTTGTCCAAATTCTGTGGCTATGACTTCCAACACCATGCTGAATAAAAGTGGTGAGAGTGGGCATCCTTGTGTTGTTCCTGATCTTAGAGGAAAAGCTTTTAGCTTTCCAGCACTAAATATGATATTACCTGTGGGTTTGTCATATATGGCCTTTATTGTATTGGGGTATATTCTCTCTATACCCATTCTGCTGGGATTTTTTTTATCAAGAACAGATGTTGAATTTTGTCAAATGCTGTTTCAGCATCTATTGAGATGATCATATGGATTTTATCCTTCCTTTTGTTAATGTGGTGTATCATATTGATTGATTTATGAATATTGTACCATCCATGCATTCCTGGAATAAATCCCACTTAGTAGTGAGGGATGATCCTTTTGATGTATTTTTGAATTTGGTTACTAACATTTTGTTGAGTATTTTTGTGTCTACATTCTTCAGGGATATTGGCCTATAATTCTCTTTTTTTGTAGTGTCTTTGTCCAGTTTTGGGATTAGAGTGATGCTGGTCTCATAGAATGAGTTTGGAAGTATTTCTTCCTCTTCTACCTTTTGGAATAGTTTAAGAAGGATGGGTATTAGCTCTTGTTTAAATGTTTGGTAGAATTCAGCTGTGAAGCCATCTGGTACTGGCTTTTGTTCTTTGGGAGATGCTTGATTACCAATTCAATTTTGTTACTGGTAATTGGTCTGTTTATATTTTCTGTTTTTTCCTCAGTCAGTCTTGGAAGGTTGCACTCATATTCTAGTGGGGAAGACTGATACCACAAATAATGACACATCCCAGAGGGTAAGGACTATATAGTGGGTTCATATGTCATTCTTTGGGAAGCCAGGAGAAGACCATTACTTCCTACTGGGAAACTAGAAAGGCTTCTTGTAGAAAGTAAGATTTAAGTTGAATTTTGGAGGAAGCGTAGGACTTTGGCAGATAGATTAATGGAGGAAGAGCCTTCCATGCACAAGGAAGAGTTTGAACAAAAGCCTGGTGATGCAGCAGTCCAAGGCCCATGAGTAATGCCATAACCTGCAAAAGTACAGGGAGCCTGGGAAAACATGGTACAGGAGAGGAGGCAGGGAGGTTAGGACTGATGCTGAAGGGAATGAGAAGCCTGTGAAGGTTATTAAGCTGAGGAGTAGCATGATCATATCTGTATATCAGGAAGATAATTTGAGATAATTGTGGGACCAGGAGAAACTGTGGGCAGGAAGATCATCTAAGAGTTTCAGTGATTTAGATGAGAGTCAATGGGAATGTGAAACAGGCTTCTATTTCTCACACCAATTTGAAAGATATGATGCAGGTAGAACTTTCAGGGTTTGCTTGGATGTAGGGGGGTGAAGGAAAGGGAGTAGTGTGTGATGCCTTGAAAGAGTTTGCGGGCATGCTGGGAATGTATCAAAGTCTCTATTCACATAATTTTCTGGGACCTCGTTTCCCTTTATTATTCCTGAAGGTACAGTGAAATCAGAGTCTAGGGTGCCTGTCTCAGAAGTGGTTGTCACTCCTCTGTTGATTAAATGCTGAGGTTGGTAGTATGTTATAGGGTGGGGGAGTTGGGGTCTGGGTAATGTCAATTTCTGTAACAAAAAGAGACAAAATGACACATACTGAGGATTTTCTCACCTCTTTGATCTTCAGAATGGTCTTGAGAGGCAGGCACTATGCTCTGTTTCTAAAATGGTGGAGGGCAAATGACTTACTTGAATGAGGTCACATAGTAAATAAGTGGCAGACGTGATCTACTGGACTTGTGAGACTAAATTTATTTTTGTAGTATCAGAAACCAGAGAAAGAAGGCAGGCCAAAAAGAAGGATATTCAAGTGAGAGAAAAAAGAATGAGATAGTGAGGAAGAAGAAATCTGAAAAAATTGCCCATTTCGTGTTGAGCCTGGTCTTGCATGTAATAATGACAAGACATGGCCCCTGTTCTCATGGGGCTTACTGGGTAGAGGGGACAAAGGATATAAGGGCTGCTCCCCAACCTATTTTTACAAAGTGCTCCGGACTTTCAGACGGGATGTAGTTTTGGTTGTCCGGAAATGTTGCATAGAAGTTATGACTTGAGCAATATCTCAGAGGAGGGGCTGTTCATGGATCATCCAGTAACAGCAATTGGGGCATCTTTCCACTGGAGGGAGTAGTTGGAGCAGAGGTGAAGGAATGGGAGACCAACAGCCTTCACATTTGTTCTGTGAATAGGTTGCCTGGAATACAACTTTTGTGTAGGGGAAAGAGTAGGGAGATGAGCTGGTAAAGGCTTACCACCAGAGAGTGGAGGGGGACTTGAATGCCCAGGCTAACACATTTATACTTCATTAAGCAGGCAGTGGGGAACCACTGACTATTTTTGAGCAGGAGAGGGCTGTAATCATGGATGCTTCTGCAAGGCTCTTCTGGGAGCAGGCAGTACAACAGATTGGAGAGTGTGGAGAATAAAAGGTAAAGGGCTAGGAAAGAGGATATCACAACAACTGAGGTAGACGGCAATACAAATCTTTGAGAAAGACAGAAGGAATGAAGGAAAGAGGATGAGAAAGAGAAGGAAGAAAGAAATTAGGGAGGAGGAGGAGAAGAAAAAAGTAAAGGAGGTAGGAGGGGAAGGAAGGAATGGGGGAAGGAAGGACACTGGTGTATTTACTGTGGACCAGGCTGAAAGGATGGGAATACTGAGGCACAGAGGAGTTATATAGTACTTGTCCAAATTCACATAGCTAATTATTATCCGTTTGACAAACTCTAGAAGCATGCCACACCATTTCCCTTCTCTACCTTCCCTGATCTCCTAAAATAGGTTTAATATTTTTTTCTCTTAAACTTTAATATCACTTTGTTGTGTTTCTTTCTTTCAGTTACCACAATCTGTCTTACACTGTAGTGACTTGTATGTGTCCAGCACTGACATAAAAATGTACAATGGTGGAATGACTGATTGGTTTGTGTTTGTTATTACATAGTAAGGAGCCTGTACTTGACTCATTGTAGTCTCAGCAAGGACAGCCCAGGTCTTAGAATTAGTATTTGCTCTATAACTGTTGAACAGATTTGATGTCTGTGGGCATCACACATGGTTAGATGCTGGGGCTACTTTAGTAACCCCCAAGGTCCAGGATTCCTGTTGTAATTTCTAGCATTAATCACTGAAAGAATACAAGCAGGATGTATAGCACCTAAACTAGTAGAGGAAGACAAATGGAATTATAAAGATAATCAATCTAAAAAAGGTTAAGACAAACGCCAAGAAATGTATGAAAAGAAGCTCAACACCAGTAATCATTAGGGAAATGCAAACCAAAACTGCAATGAGATAGCACCTAACATCCATTAGGATGGCAACTACTAAAAAAACCCCACAATATAAAGAAGTGTTGGTGAGGATGGAGAGACATTGGAACCCTTGTGCACTACAAGTGGGAATGTAAAATGGTACAGATGCTGTGATGAACAGCATGGCATTCCTCAAGACATTTAAAAATGCAATTACCATATGATCCAGCAATTCTGCTTCTGAGTTTATATCCAAAAGAATTGAAAGGAAAGTCTCAAAGAGATTTGAACACCCATGTTTGTGGCAACATTATTCACAATAGCCAAGAGGTAGAAATGACCCAAGTGTCTATTAACAGATGAAGGATAAACCGGGTGTGATATATGTGTACAGTGAAGTGTTATTCATCCTTGAAAAGGAAGGAAACCCTGACCATGATAAAACATGGATGAACCTTGAAGACATTATGTTAAGTGAAATAAGCCAGTCACACAAGGATAAATGTATATGATTCCACTTACATAAAGTGCCCAGAGGAGACCAATTAACAGAGACAGAAAATAGAAGAGCAGTTGCCGGGGGGCTGAGGGAGGGGAAATGGGGAGTGATTGTTTAATGGGCACAGAGTTTCAGTTTTACAAAATAAAAGAGTTCTGAGTGTGGATGTGAATGGTGGATACGGTTGCATAACACTGTGAGTTACATAATGCCGCTGAACTGTACACTTAAACATGTTTAAAATGGCAGAATTTATGTTATATGTATTCTACCACAGTTTTTAAAAACTTAAAAAAATGCAGGTGAAAGAAAACATTCACATTTAATATTAGTGTTTTCACTTAAGACACACAGGCGCCAACACTTGTCTCTAACAGCTCCCCTCCACTTCTCCAGATCTTCCACAATGACTGGAAGCTGGTGAGATTGGGGGAACGTTACTAAGATACTGTCCCTCACCTTCTTAGACCCTTACATATTCAGTGTTAGATATACCGTCTACCCTATTCCTCCCCAGAGACTGTGTTCTTTGAGAGGGGAAAAGGAAAAGATAAAGAAATATTCAATAAAAAATCATTTTCTGAGAAAATGAGAACATTTTATTGAGGAGAGCTCTCCAGAAGAGCCAGAACATTCTGGGCACTTGGTTTCAAATACCATATAAAGGCTTTCTGGGATAGGACAAACCATACCTAAAAGTACCAGCTCTCACAGTTCTTCCTTGGTTACCTATTTTTCTTGCTCTCTCTGTCCCACCTTTGCCCTCTCTTTCTAGGATCCGGACTTGAAATGGTGGCTGCCATCATGATGCCACATCTCTTAGGACATTCCTATGTCCCTCACTTTCCCAGCTAAGGGCTGGAGTTTGTCAAAGGGGTCTTTTTTGAGGAAGTTAAGATAAATACAAAGGAAAGCAGAAAGAAGGTATGGAAGGCTTGGAAACAAGTTTACAGAAAAATTGCTTCCTTCTCTCAATACACTGAGAAGCAAGCCATTGATGGAATAAGAGCTTGGCATGATTTGATTTCAATAAGACTCAATAATTCTTCATAATTTGGAGGCCATTGACCCCTTTGGCAGTCTAGTAAAGCCTGTGGACCCTTTTTATGAATAATATTTTTAAACTCACAAAATAAAATACGCAGACTTTCAAAGGAAACTCATCATATTCAAACACAATCATCAAACATTGTAAAAATATGATAAAGTAACATGAGCATCTTGATTTAGGCATTAAATAACCAGACTGAATGGTAGTTCCAATAACTGTTGGAATTTTGAAGTAGTTACAGGCACAAATGACATTTCTAGATGCTTGCCACAGCTGGCAAATGCTGCTAACACTTCTGTGGTTTGTTGCCTGCATTCTTCATTCTGATCTGGGGTTAATGAGAATAAGAGGTAATTTTTTCCAATCAGATTCAAAGTTGTCCCCCCTGCCCCCATCACCCAGATTCTAGGTCCATAGGCCTCTGGTTAAGAATCTCTGCTCTAAAGGGTCATATAGCCTCCCATGGATTGGAATTGGCTGCCTCCTACCTGTCCCATCCTTCAGGATAACCTTTCTTCCAGGCCATTTGTCAAACTTGTCCCTATAATTGGCTGCCTACAAAGCCCTGGGTTCTGCCTGGGAAAAGCTTGGAGTTCTCAGCTCCTTTGCCCAGCAGTGGTAACTGCCATGTGCCAAGTGCACTGAACAACAGGCTCTCTCTCTAAATTGTGTCTAATGAGTCACTGAAGCAGGCCTCAGATTTGACAGAATTCTCTCACTGTAGTCTTGTACTGGAAAATCACCTTATGCCTACCTAGTAACACCAACTCTACGAGCCACCACCATCTTTGCTCCCCTCCCTGAATATGCTTCTTTTCAGCTAGTTCAGAGGGGCAGTTCTGAGAAGGCTGGGGGAACCTTTAAGCCAGAACAACCGCAGCACCACTCCTGGCCTTCATGCCCCTCAGTGAGGAGGAGAGAAATCTAGTCAGCTCTGCAGCAGCCATCTCTCAGTAGGGGGAAGTACAGTCTTTCCCAGAGGGAGGGGACCAACCAAATGACCTCTTTAGAGCCTTCCTCATCTGGGGACTCCTGGCCTCTTTCTTGGCCTGTTCCCATGTGCTCTCCAGGACCTGAACTTCACTCACCTAAAAATATGTAGGGTGGGATTCATTGCAAAACAGAGAGAGTTTGGAGGCCCTCCTGAAGATCCAGCTGGGAGAAAAAAGCCATGGCCGTAGTGCTGTTCTGTCATGGCAAGAAGCCTGAAGAGAAGGCCAGCACCTCTAAAGCTGAGCTGATTACAGGTGCTCTGCTCTCCTCACTGAGTCCCTTTAGCTGCTGGAGGTTTTAAGCTTGACCTAACCTTTCCTCCAGTCTTCCCTGTTCTCTGGCCTGTCCCGAATGCCTAGACACACTTCAGGTTTTAGATCACACTACCTAATTGCCCTAATATGTGTCTCTTCTCCATGTGTGCTCAATTGCAATGAGGCAGAAGTGGCCCTGGGCAGGGGGAACTCTAGCTGTGTGTGTGTGTGGTGGGGATGGGGTTCTCTGATAAATTAGTGCAGGAAAAGAGAACCCCTTTAACCTCAAATAGAACCTCTGAAAAGCAACCTGCTACCTTTCCCTGCCTAAGAAAGGAGACCTGCTTGTTTCTGCCCAAGTGGCTGCTCTTGGGCTCCTCCTGTCCTCTGCTGACAGCCACCTTGTCAACTAGGGCCTTCTTCTGCACAAGTGTCCAGATGTCTCAGATACCTCCTCATGCCCATATTTCCACAGGCCCCATATCAGCAGCCAGATACCATATAGCAGAGTGGGAGAAGCATTGCACAGAAAGCAGACCTGGGTTCCAGTCTTAGCTCCACCATGTTCTTGCACAACATCTTTGAATGTTGCTCCATCTCTCTAGATATGTTTGAGAATTCACTGTTGGAAGGCAGTGTGGCGGCGGTCAGGGACAGCCTTTGCACTGCATGGCTGGGGTTCAAATCTCAGCTCTGCTGCTTGCAAGTTGGTGAGTGTCATGTCTGGTTTCACCATCTGTAAAACTGGGATAACAATGGTGCCTACTTCATAGGGTTGTTCTGAGGATTAAACAAGTGAATGAATATAAAGTGTTTAGCACAGGGCCTGGCACACATTAGGCACTATGTTAATGTTTCCCATTATTACTATTTGTTTAGTTCAATTAATGTCCATTGAACATGTCCTACATTTCAGGCTAAGAGGTTTGCTTCTGCACATCAGCTTCTGCAAAATTAAAGATTGTTTCCAGGTCCCAATCCTCCGGATTCATTTTTTTCTGTAACACTCTACTGAGTGATTACTGTTTGCCAGGCACTGTTGTAGGTGCTGAGGATTCAACAGTGAAGAAGATGGACAGGATTCTTTCCCTCGTTGAACTTACAGTCTAGTGGAGGAGACAGACAATATATATTTAAAAATCACAAAAATGTCTATACACTTGAATTTGTCAAAAGTGTCTTAAAGGAAAAGGCCAGTATTTCTCAGTATAAGGTCTTGAATAAAGAAGGTGCTCAAGAAAATCTTTTGAATGTAATCAAAAGTGTTGCTAGGAAAAGGAAATACAAAATATCAAGGGTCATGCAAGTGCAAGGAAATATTTATTCCTTAGCCTTTTCCAGGGAGATTAGCAAAACTCTCCCTGTTCCTACTCTGGGTTGGGCCTCCCTGAATCGACTGACTAATATGGCTCTTCAGAGTTGAGATTAGGGAACTTCTCTGGTATTTTGTGTGTGTGGGGTTCTCACTCCCCAGTGTATCTTGAAAGGCCACCTGACATGTCACTCCTTTCTCTGCTTCCTTTTCTTCTCCTCACCCTAGCTAGCTGGGGTTCTCAAGCTGCTTCTTGGGGCTACTTGGCCACATACGAGGTGAGCTATATTGGAGTGGGTCTGCTCAGAATTTGCAGGGAGCAGTAGGAGAGGCAAGAAGCAGGTCTGGTTCTTCTAGGGGAAAGCATGGGTGTGGCAAGTAGCCAGGACAGACAAGATTTACAATGTCCAGGGCTCTAAGTGCCCTTACAGGTCAGGTTTCTACTCTTCACTTTCAGGTGGGTACATGGAAGAGTCCTAGAAAGGACTTAAGGTCATGCAGGTCACCATAGGCAGGGCAAGGGCAGGCTGATTGCCATTTCTGTCTCCTTAATGTCTGGCTCAGGGCCTGGTACAGAGCAGGCATTCCAGTAAATGACTGTGAAAGAAATGGAGGAGGTCAGTCTCCTGGTTCTTCAAGTGAGATGACCCTGATTGGTTACCCGTTTCTCCCCAAAACAGATAACATGCTATATAAGCTGGAGCTCTCTTGAGCCAAATAGGCAAGTGTAACCTATGTGCCAGGGAATGTAGAAAAATCAGGAAGAAGCAAAGTAGGCCAGCCTACAAACCCTGAACAGCCAGTCCTCATGATTTCCTAGTGACAAGTCAACCAATAGACAGACAAGCAAAAGCTTAGCTGCCTCAGGAAAGGTGGCCAAGGAGCACAAAATGGCTGTGATTTCATTCACCAACATTTAAGGCTGATGTGATTCTCACCCTCAATAAACTCACAGTCCAGGGTGCAAGGCAGACACCTTTGTGGACCACTGTGGGGTGAGCAGAAGGGAGAGGCACCCTCTAGCTTGAGGAGATCAGGGAAGGCTTTTTGGAAAAGGGGATGCTGCAGGGAGGAGAAATGGACAGGGCTCATGGGGCATGAAGGGCAGCCCAGGGAAAACTGCAACGAGTTCACCAGACCTGTAAGAATGGGGGTCTGGGATAAGCTGGAAAGCTACCGCACTTCTAAGGAGCAATAGAAGACAAAGGCAGAAGAATGGAAGGAAAATATCAAAGGGATGGGGGAGCTCAGGACTGGTGGAAGGGGGATAGCTCTGAGAAGGAAGCAGCCCCAGGTATCTTCATGCTGGATTTAAAGATTCACCTCCACTTTCAGAATGACACATTTACAGAAAGCTTTGGGGAGCTAAGACTTTGCCATAATGGGTTTTCTCAGATCCCCCTTATCATACCCTTATTTGGTTAAGTATTGCAATTTCAGCCCACTTAAAAGCATTTATGGAGAACATATTTGATGCCAGGCACCAGGCTAGGTAGTCCCTTCACTCACCAAATGTTTATTAAAGTCCTACTATAAGGCTGGTGTTGTTTTAGGCTCACAGTTGTGTGTATGGCAGTGGGGGGGCAGGCAGAGAGTGAAAGGAGTGCAAACATCATCCGTACAAGGAGAGGGGCCATCAGAGAATCGCAAAGAAGAGAGGAAGGCTAGTAGCAGTGTGACCTTACACAAGACACTTCCCCTCTCAGAGTCTCAGTTTCCTCACCTGGAAAAAGGGCTTAATATTTGCTGTGAGGACTGCTGGCAAGGTTTGAACAGCTCCTTGGGCAATATCAGACACCCAGGAGCTGTTCAATGGTGCTGGTGTGTAGATGTGAGGAGGTGGTGTTTTCAGTGGGCTCCGACAGACAGAGAAGTAGGGATGTTATTTTTCCTGTGCTGGCCCAGGAGACACAAAAGTCTGGAGGATTGCTTTGGCACAGGGGCTTGTTTAGTTTGACTGGAGCCTCAGGTTCACGGAGGCAAGTAGAAGAGAAAGCTGGAAATTGGTAAGTGGGGATGTTTTTCTCACAAATCTCTTTATGTCTGGAGGTCAATGGGTCTAGAGTCTAGGGAAAGTTGTTGGCTTGAGGAGGGGCCTGTGGATGTGGGCGGCAGGGTGAAATAGGGTGGGTATTTCAAACTCCTGTGGAAGTCACTGGATTGCTCCTCAGGACAGGCAGTCCCTGAGGAACAGCAGCCTCTGGTGCCTTCCCTCAGATTGTGGTGACCGACCATCTCTGTGAGCCAGGTACTGGATGTGGGTTTTCAGTGCTAAAACCAGTATGATCTTGGGCAAATCCGCACAGTTGCTCCCTGAGTTCAGCCCCTTGTCCACTGTCTCAGCAGGATGCTCCCTGCCTTCCTTTGGTCCCCACGCTGCTGCTAGAAGATCACTGTCCAACACAGCTCTTAGCAACTGCCCTCTTTCAAACCCTCCAAAGTCTCCCATTGCCTCTAGGGTCAAGTTCAAACCCCACAGCCTGGCATCCAGAGCTCTTTCTACTCTGGTTCCTGCCTTCCTCAGAAGTCTCACTTCCCATCACGTTCACACCACACCAGACACAGCCTTCTTCCCAAACAGGAGGTGCCCTTTCCTGTTCTGGGCCTTTGGCTGCAATGCTCTCATACCAGCCTGAGTGGCAACTACCCATGCTGCAAGTTTCACTGAAAATGTCATTCCCTGAGACTCTATCCTGTTCTCTCCTCTGGATTCCCAAGGTACAGTATACCTACTTTGGGGAAAGCACACATCAGGTAGTGAGTTTGGGAGCATAGATGCCCCTTCTACACCAGCTTCTAGTGCAACTGCTTGATAAGCTTTCAGCATATATAGTTTGGATAGTCAGTGTAGCCACATTCAAAATTCAAAAGGGACTCTAGGGAATTTGGTGAAAAGTCTTCTTCCCACTCCTGGCCTCTAACAGCCCAACATCCCTCCCACTCCAGGGGTAGTTCATATGCACACAAGCCAATCAGATAATTTACATTGCTTAATGAATACAGGTACATACAGTAAAAACCTGGAAAGAATCCAGATGTTCAGAATCTGGGGCTGGCTGAGTCAGCTATTATATAGCAGCATTATAGACTAATTTGCAGTCATTAAGAATCATTAAAATTATGGTAAGGCAGACTGTAGCATATGATACGTCAAGCTTTAAAAGCAGAATATAAAGCAGACCTCTGTATTGAATGCACTTTGTAAAAATGAGGTCTCTTCAGTGATAGGATGAAAGGAGTCTGCAAGGGGAAATGATTGCTGCTTTAAGGTGATGGGATTCTGGGGTTTCTTTTATGTGAAGCTTTTTGAATATGAAAGGAATAGGCCAGATTATTGTGAATCCGCCTGATGAGGAACTGTGATTCCTGATGGGACTCATCCATTCACTAATTCATTCTGCATCACTGCAGGCCTGCTTTATCAGGAGAAAGAGCCAGAAACCATGCTGTGCTGCTCAGGAGGAGCACTAAGTAGGAGAAGGGGACACAAAAAGCTCTCAGGGAGGAAGAGGGGTGGGGAGTGTGACCAGTCCATTCCAAGACTGTTGAATTTGAGTTACGTTTGTTCATTGAGAGTTGCTCTGTAGTAGCTGGTAGAACCCAGGTCCCGGAGC